AGGGAATGGGCAATAATTTGTCACACCTCTCTCTTAATAGCACAATAATTTAACTGTACTTTATCAGTATTATATACTATACTGTACATACAGTGGTTCCCAGAAATAGTAACTTTACTTTCTACGTGATTTTTTGCAATGACTTTGAACCAGCTGTTCCCAAAGTGATTTCTAGAGGATGTGTGACGTCATTTTTTTCAAGTTCACATAGGTCTAGTTCATCACATTAACTATGAACATGATCCACTAACATTTGACAACCTGGGTATCTTAATTTTGAATGGTATATCTATTATATTATCATTTTTAAAAACTTATATTTTAAACGTCTTTTTAAGAAATATTTTGCTTGGAAAGTGTTAGTGCTGTTTTTCTTAGAAATAAATGTCAGGTTTGATTTTTTTTTTTATGTTATTCAATGCTATTTATACATTTTTAAGCTAAGCTGACAATGTTATTTTAGTTAACAATATTAATTAATGGCTTTTATTTTTATATTTTCAGTTTTCATTTTAATTTTAGTTTAAGTTTTAGTGATTCTGTTACATGCTTAGTCAGTTTTTTTATATTTCTATTTAACTTTGTTTTTATTTCTGTTTTAGTAATTTTAGTATGTCAACTTAAAAACATTTTTATAGGCAACATATTTAATTTTATGAAACGTTTTTAAGTATTTCTAATAAGTAATAATTCTATTTTTCAGAAAATTTCAGAAAATAATTTTTATTGGATTTATTTTTTACTATTTAGTTAATCACTAATATGGTAAAAGTGTTTAAATCATTTACAGAATCATGGAACCACAAATCAATCATTCAGATTTACAGCTGTAGGTCCAGTGCTTTACCACAAAACAGGACAAAAACAAACATCACCTTATTTGGACTCGTTTTATTTGGTTGATGATTCCAAACATCACAAATATGGAAACAACATCTGAACTCTGACCTAGAGATGGCATCCTAGTGCACACTAGCTGTTCACAAACCGAGTATCAGTATGGCAAGGTGCTCCTCTCTGTTGCTTTCTTTGTCTCGTCGAGGCGTGAGTGATTAAGCTTGCGTTAGCAGTCATTATCTGAGTGTTTGCACAGCTCCGTCTGTCCTGAATGGGCCCAGTGGGTAAACACAAACGTAATACAGGATACACTTGCACAAGAGACTCAAGGCCTTTTCATAGTCACACACACACACACACACACTCGCCAGTGCCATTCACTGACTCCACTGACTAATTTAAACATCCTCATTACGGTTAAATGAGTAACGTGGCATATTCCCAGTATTTTTTTAACTAACATAAATGTACATTTTGTTGATCTGTTAAGCCATTGTTCTAGTATGCCTAGCCAGTGTAACTATCACATTTTTCTATTCAATTTAGGGTGGAAACCATGCCATTGTTCAAGTCTCATTAAATTATTAAAAGCTTAATTTCACACAATGATATGAATAACGACACCTGTTACACAAACCATAGAAATAATATTAGTTTCATAGATAGATAGATAGATAGATAGATAGGGCAGTTTTTTCCACACAGATGACTGTCAGTGGCCCCTGGTGAAAAAGGGGTTGGGTACTGAAAAGTTGTGGGCGTGTCATTGCGGGTGGAGTATTTTCACTCCACAGAACCTCTACGGAGTGAGTAATTACTGGCTCCGCAGCCAACCGAAGGAACACACGCTCTGCCACACAGAAAAATACGTTCTCAACAAATTAGTAGAAGAGTCTGGCGTGGAATTGTGGAGTTTATACATGTTAAAGTGCGTGAAAGGACTCCAATGGACTGCTGGGAAACACACTGAAGGAAATGGCAGGAAGCAACTGAAACCTGTTGCTCTGAGCACTAATGCGAAAGGTGATTTTATTTGTTTTTTTTTATGTGTATTATTCACCCTTATTATACTTTTAAGAAGGAATTTAATTTTGGACGTCAGATTTCTTTTTCATATTTTCTTCTCGATTTTTCGCCGTCTTTTTTGTTGTGAATCCGCCGGATTGTATTCATCGGATGCATTCACCTGCCATGTGGAAGTGAATGCAGATCAGAAAGGAAACCGACGATTAAAATGTTACTTTGTTACAAAGTATCTGCGGGAAATGAACTTTCGACCTTAACACGGTTTACTCGTGAATGATTGATCATTTAGTCCACGGATGCCCGTGCTTTTCCATGGTACGTTCTGACGCTCAATTCTATGTTAATGATTTTCTGTAGAATTATTAAGCTGTTGTTTGATTTAACTGTAGTTGTTCTCTTTCTCTTTCAGCCCGTGTTTATGATCATCTGTATAAAATGCACTCACACAGTCGGAAGAAAGTGTGCTCGGGATCTGGAATGAAACTTCACTGTGATTTACAACCTTGTGGACTGTGGACATGCTGCTGGAGCAATTAAGGTTTCCTTTTGGGATTTCTTCTTTCCTAAACGCAGCAATAAATTAAAAAAAGAAAGGAAGGAAGGGAGGAAAACCTGAGCCGAGAAAATACTCAAGAATTGAAATGAATAGTTTTTCAGTATGAGGAAACCTGCAGATAAGCATCATTTCATCATGGAGACCTCAGGGATGCACCTGGTTGGATTTTGGCTGCACCTTCTGCTGCTGTTGCAACTGTCTAGGCTTGGCGATGCTGCTTCTAAGGATATAGTGTGTGAGCCAATCACTGTACCGATGTGCAAAGAGATCGGATACAATCACACCTACATGCCCAACCAGTTCAATCATGACACCCAGGATGAAGTCGGCTTGGAAGTGCACCAGTTTTGGCCACTTGTCCGGATCCGTTGCTCCCCAGACTTGCTTTTCTTCCTGTGCAGTATGTACACCCCCATCTGTCTTCAGGACTACAAAAAACCTCTACCGCCTTGCAGGTCTGTGTGCGAGAGGGCTAAGAGGGGTTGCTCTCCCCTCATGATTCAGTATGGGTTTGAGTGGCCGGAGCGCATGAGTTGTGAGCAGCTGCCTATGCTGGGCGACACTGATCGGCTTTGTATGGACAGGAACAGCAGTGAGACCACAACTCTATCACCTCCTTTCCCCAAACCCACTCCCAAGGGAACGCCACGACATAGAACCACTGCAAAATCTGCTCCGCCGCAGAAGTGCGACCGTGAGTGCCATTGTCGAAACCCCCTAGTGACAATTAAACAGGATGCACATCCTCTCCATAACCGGGTACATACTGGCTCTCTATCCAATTGTGCTTTGCCTTGCCACCAACCCTACTTTTCCCTGGATGAGCATGCCTTTACAACCTTTTGGATCGGCCTGTGGTCGGTGCTGTGCTTTGTCTCCACGCTCACCACTGTGGCCACTTTCCTCATCGACATGGAGCGTTTCAAATATCCAGAGCGGCCGATTATCTTCCTGGCTGCTTGTTATCTGTTTGTGTCGCTGGGGTACATTGTGCGACTGCTTGCGGGCCATGAGCGGGTAGCTTGCGAGGGCTCCGGCAACCAACAGCACATCCTCTATGACACCACGGGTCCAGCCCTTTGCACGCTTGTTTTCCTGCTCATATATTTCTTTGGAATGGCCAGCTCCATCTGGTGGGTGGTGCTTTCCTTCACCTGGTTCCTAGCAGCAGGAATGAAATGGGGGAATGAGGCCATCTCGGGTTACTCACAGTACTTCCACCTTGCTGCTTGGCTCGTCCCTAGTGTCAAGTCCATCGCTGTCCTGGCTTTGAGTTCGGTGGATGGAGACCCTGTGGCTGGGATCTGTTACGTCGGCAACCAGAGTTTGGAGAGCCTACGTGGCTTTGTATTGGCACCGCTGGTCGTCTACCTCTTCACTGGCTCCCTCTTCCTTCTGGCCGGATTTGTTTCACTCTTCCGGATCCGTAGCGTCATTAAACAGGGCGGCACCAAGACAGACAAGCTGGAGAAGTTAATGATCCGGATTGGGCTCTTCACTGTCTTGTACACAGTGCCCGCAAGTATTGTGGTGGCTTGCCTAGTGTACGAGCAACATTACAGGCCAGGTTGGGAGCGGGCCCTGGCCTGTTCTTGCCTGTCCGAGCGCCAGCGGCTCGGCATGGGGCCGGACTATGCCGTCTTCATGCTGAAATACTTCATGTGTCTTGTAGTAGGCATTACCTCAGGTGTTTGGATCTGGTCTGGGAAGACTCTGGAGTCCTGGAGACGCTTTGTGGCACGGTACCGCCCCTGTAGGACCCAGAAGCCACCTGTATCAGGCTCATCCATGTACAGTGAGGCGAATACCGCTCTCACAGCCCGAGCCGGAACAGCACCCACTGGGACCTATCACAAATCAGCACCCTCATCACACGTCTGAATATTGGCCAGAAAGCCCTGGTCCATTATAAACCCTACAACTGTCAAACGAGTGAAGCCTGAAGTGTGCAGGTCATGACTCTGAATGAGCAGGTGTCTGTTCGACCTGATGGATTGAACGAATATATTATGAAGGATTTTTACAGGCTATTGGTTGTTTAATTGTAGTCAAGTTCTTCTTATTCACTGGTCTAATTTGCAGAGCAATGAACATGTTGATACTTTGTGAGGAAAAGATAATTTGTCTGCTTTACAATTGTTGCAAGCATCTTAGCCACCTTCTGTTTGTTTTTCTAGACCATGAATGATGGAAAAAAAATCTGAGAAGGTTAATACTTGATATGAGTCAAGATGAATTGAGGGGTTTGTGGAGATATTTTATTTATTTGTGTATTCTTGTAAATATGCTATTCAAAAACTTTGTGGTATCTCAGATAACAGTCACTCTGTTGTTTACGACTTTATTGGCATTTTACAGGATGTCAGTAGGATCATCTCCAGTCTTCTAATTTACAAATGTGTAGGACGTGCTTTCATGTGTTCTCTGTGTGTGTGTGTGTGTGTGTGTGTATATATATATATATATATAACAATTTCAGCTTATACTGTGCAAGTGGAGGAAAAAAGCAAGTCTAGTGAAGAAGCAGTTCACATTCACCTAAAGTTGTTGCAGGCAGTTCTGCACAGGTTAATGCTCACCGAATGTTCTTCAGTGTCCCTCAGCAGCCACTTATCAAAGCCGTCTCCCCACTGATAATAGATTGTTGGTTAGCGTCTATTGGGCAGTGTTAAATAATAGGATGTGTATGTACCATCTATAGAGTTGTTTGAAGAGTCTGTAGGTCTATTGTGTGAGCTTGACTTCCCTCTTGTGATCAATGGTTCAATTTTCACTAGGTTCAGGTGTTAACCAGCAGCCATTCTAGGTTTGTTGAATATAATTTTTTTTTTTTTGGCAAGGCCAAATATTAACTGGTTTCAAAATGTGGAACAACATAATTTATTTTGGTCTGTTCGTTTCCTTGTCAAGCCTCATGATCCCGTCTTTGGTTATTTTATTAACCATTGTAATAAAAATGTAAATATGTCATTTCACCTTATTTGTGTTTCGAATCAGAAAACCAGTGTTGGCTATGCACTTTTAGCAGACAGAATCTTTAAATGTTGTTTTTGTAGTTCTGTGTGAAATCTTTCAGTGGAGCATTAAGGTGTAAATGTAAGCATTGTTTGGCTACTTTTTACGGTCCAAGCTGTTGTAGAAGTAACATTTCCTGTGTAGTCTTTAAAATGCCTCACAATTTTGCTGCATGTCTGGTTGTGTGGACATAACTCGTTTGGCTCTATTCGTATGTAAATCTTGTAGAAGACATGTCCTTTTATGAGTCCAGACTGCAACTCTGTACATATGTTTTGTAAACGATATGAAATACAGTGCTACAATTTTAAAGAGATTTATAGATATTTATGAAAAGTGTCTTTGAAACATGTTTCTTTTGTTTCTCTTACTGGTAGAGAATAAAAGCGAGGAGCAATTTGTGAACCTGCAAGTCAAACGTTTGGTCTATTATTAATTATGCTTTTATTTTTACTGCTGTTTTGGAGAAGGAAAAAAAAACAATTCACCCAGTTGATATAAAAAATAAAATCCCACCGAGTGTGTCATCATTTTTACTTTTCTGATGTTTTGTTAGTAGAAAGCTATCAATTTTAGATTTTTTAAAGGCATTAAAAACCTGCACTTTATTCATATTATTTATTTATATATATATATTTACATTTACACAAATATGATTCTAACAAATTTAATTAGCGCTTATTGTGAAAGAACTGTAAGTGTTAAAATCCCTGGATTAATTTTTCAGTGTAATGCAACAAAAACAAACCACCATTTTGACAGTTTGTAGTGACCTTGTAAAACATTCTTCAAACATAAATTCAGACATGTTACATGATTAGTGTTTATTTAAAATACTCCATCTGCAAATTATTTTAATTAAAAACTGACAGTTCACAGCTAGTAGCCTACATAGTAAGCAAAAAACAAACAAAAGAAACCATTCAGTCTGTTTTGTCTCTATGGTGTTCTGCAACGGTTGGGTAAGATGTAAGATCTTTCGGGGTGGCATAATGTCACAGCCAAAGGTGGGGCAAAGAACGAGTTTTGTCCATTCAATTTAGTCTTGGAGTGGCCATTGTTCCAAGAAAAAAAGCTCTAGGAAAGAACGGCATTGGATCTGCGGATGCCCACTAGGTTGTCTGCACTGAATGATCTCCTCATGGCCACTCTGCTCAGATCCTTGTACTTATCCTCACATAGTCTTGAGATAGCCTTTGAAATAAAGAACAAATTATATGAGAACGCTTGTAATTAAATTGTCCCATTAGAAAAAGAAGTATGACTTGAGTACATTTTGTAGGTATGCTGCCCACCTCTAATTTCTGTGCTCGTTCGTTGCTCAATGGTTCCAAAGGAAAGCTCAGGTTGTTGTCGTCTGCTAAAGAGCGCAGGTCAAAGTAATACTTGGCGTAGACGCTGGCCGGCACGTTAATGTTGAACTGTAGCAGCTCCAGAAAATGTCTTTCCATCTCATTCCTAAAAAAAATGGATTGTGAGATTCACTGAGTCAGGAGTGTCTTTTCTGATTTAAAATCACAGACAATGGTCCCAATGTAAATAAAGCCAGATACAACCAGATATTAAAGAAGACATGAAACATGAAAACTATACAATCCATTACTGGCAAAACTACATTTTTCAACATTTTCATTAGTCTTCAGTGTCACATGATCCTTCAGAAATCATTCTAATATGCTGATTTGCTGCGTATTACTATCAAAGAAGAAAACATTTGTGCTGCTTATATTTTTGTAGAAACTGTGATAGTTTTTTTTCCAAAATTCTTTGAATAGAAAGTTTAAAAGAGTGTCTTTACTGACATTTATGTAAAATATCTTTACTTTCACTTTAGATTAACTTAATACATCCTTGCTCAATATAATTGCGTATAAAAATTATATATCAGTCGCTAGGGGCAACAAATGGAGTGGGCGAGAGCCTGGGCCATTGTTGAGGAGTCTGAGAGCACTTGAAGGCCCGCCAGCCCAGAGGCTCACAAAGACTGCTTCAATGAAAGGGATGAAAATAGAGCGAAGGGGCAGAGAGGAGAGGAGAGAAGAGGGCCATGGCCTTTAACATACACAATCACGTAGAACATACACACACAAACCCTGTCTGTGTCATTTATATGGATATTGAGACATGAGAACAAAAAAAACAAGGTTTTGAAGTGTGTCGTTTCATTTTGAAAATCTTGCATGCTTGTTCCAAGGGATATGGGAAGTTGTGAGGTATGTAGGAGTTGTAGACTGGAATGAGTTGGCAGAGGAGTGAAGTGACACAGGGTACTGTCTCCTTACTGCAACACATATTGGATTTTGGATGGTGCGTTGATGTATCACAACAAGACGTTTTGTTCTAGATTATTTTGACTGTACAAATGAGCTGTAACCTTTTGAGCAGAACACACAGTGACTATATTATCTCACTCACATGTCCTCAACAGTGATGTCTTTGAGGATCTGACAGTAGTCGACGTTCCACACGGCCTGATCGTCCCAGACTTTCGAGGCCAGTAGGATGGCTCCCAGAACAATCCTCTTCCAGTTAGATGGGCAAATGTCCAGCTCGGCATACGTCAACAGCCTCTCCAAATATACCTGCAGCAAAGACAGTGGACATGTATGTGCTCAAAAGATGCTTCTTACAAAGGTAACTTGCGATATGGCATCATTCTGTGCAAATTAGAATTAAAATACTGGAAACTCTCTATGATAACATTTAGTTCATTTACACTAGCTGATGTGTTACTTTTGAAATAACAATTAATAATACTTTTACAGCATTAAATAATTTCAGAAAGAAATAAGGAATTTGTCTTGATGTTAATTAATCTAGGTTAATCTTTCATAATTATACATCGTCCATCACAGCTAACATAGTTATCTGACATATTTATATTAAACTGTAAATAACATATTTGTACATTTATCTAAACAATTACATTTTTTCCTATACTTCTATTTCTGTATATAGTACATTATTAAATTTTTTATTTTTTTTAATTTTAATTTTTTTAATAATTTTTTTTTTAATATTAGTGTTATATTGCATCTCTACTGTGTTATTCCTATGTATGTCTGCACTATCATGTATGTCTTCACTATGTTTGTACTTTCTTCTACACTGGAAGCTCCTGTCGTCAAGTCAAATTCCTTGTGTGTGTAAACATACTTGGTAATAAAGCTCTTCTGATTCTGATTCATGTTAATTTCTATATGCATTACAGTTCAAAATTTTGGGCTAATTATGTTGGCTACGTTTTTTTTTTCATAGTATTTTTTTACTCGCCAAGGCTACATTTAGACTCTTGAACAGAGTTCATGTATTATAACTGGATCTAAATTAACAATGAGCATTAAGCTAGATTAATAAATGCTGTAAAAACTGTTGTTCATTGTTCATGATACCTAAAAATCGAACCTTATTGTACGTTTTATCAAAATATTTGATTGTAAATAATCATGAGTTATTGGTTGTGAATCAGGTGAGGTGTGCTTAACATTATTTGCTTTAAGGTAAAAGGAAGAAGTTGGAATGGAGTCTGGACCAATACTGGCTAAACAAACACATGATGATTCATTCTCTGGTGCTCTGCTGTCCTCTAGTGGACATCAGGAAAATGTACCCAAGCACCCCAATAAAAAAAAACAAACGCCCCTGCTTGATGTTAGACTCTATCTTTTTCTCATTGTACAGAATAAGCTGAAAGTGGAGCAGACCAATCAGAAAGGCTGCCATTCTCTTACCAGAGTGACGATTGCACACTCGGCTGTGAGCTGTGCTGCACTGAACAGCGTCCGGACGAATCGATAGATGAGTTTGTGTTCGGGGTCTGTGCGGGAGTAATCATCAGGAACCTGTTCCCTCTGCCAAAGGTAGCATTTATACACATTATATGCTAATATGCTCAAAACTTCTAGCTCAACTTCCAAGCTCTTCATTTAATATGTGTAATGTTCATTAGTTACTTCTGAAGACTAAAACGGGGCAGTCGTGGCCTAATGGTTAAAGTCAAACTTGTAAACCAAAGGTCGCGGGTTCAAGTCTCTGTACCGGCAGTGTGTTCACGGTGTGTGTGTGTGTGTGTGTGTGTGTGTGTTTGTTCACTACTCACTGCTGTGTGTGTGCACTTGGATGGGATAAATGCAGAGCACAAATTACGAGTATGGGACTCCATACTTGACTAAACGTCACTTTCACTTTTTAAAATGTCATTATGATGCCAAGACACCTTCTACTATTACAAAGAGTCCCTGTCATTGTGGCAAGTGGTAGAACATAAGCTAACCATATGGGATAAGAGTGAGAAAAAATAACTGACTTCTTACAAAGTGTATGTTATATGTCAAGTCCCAAATAACAAAAGTAACTGACTGTTCACAAATGCTTTTCCAAAAATCCATTTCAAATGGATTTTAAACCACATATGAATCAGATCAAATGTGCAAATTGGATTGCAGAACATTTTTTTCTGCTCAGACTAAACAGCTAAACGGATTTGATGCACACAAAAAATAGATACTGCAGCCTGTCTGAACAAAATCAAATAGTGACTATAAAATGTGGAATTGTCCAACAGCTGCAGATGTTACTGAAAGCAAGAAAAATAAGAGGTTAACTTACAGATAAGGGGTGCATTTTTTCATCAAAGGTGTCCAATGACTTATCGGAGTCCCTGAAATGGATTAATTGGATGGATTAATTCACATTTTTAAAATCACAGAACACATTTCAATTTTATAAGCAAAATATTATCAAAATGTATAGGTCAAATGATTTGCTTGTGGGAAAGAACATAATGAAACATACCTGTTTTTAATGTGATAATAAATTGCTAATGTGACACTGGAAACAGACAACAGAAAGGTTGTCAACATACAAAATAAAAGCAAAATAAAACAAACAGTACTCTACCTTTTCATTTTGCTAATTATTTTTTTCATGCATCAATGGTCTGTACTCATTATATAACTAATTAATGTCTATATTTTACTATAAATGATAATGTAGAAATAGTAAAAAAAAAATTGTGTAATAAAACAGTGAACTGTCACCGACCATTTGATTGTGCTTTTCAGGTTGGGCTGACTAACGGTACTGTCATCAATGAATATCGTAGAGCAGGAGCTGTACTTCTTCGAAAGCAGACCAGGTGAGACCTCCAGAAAGAATGAACATTTAATACACTTACAACCATATAACCAAGCACAACCACAAAGCAGACTCCATAACACATTCACTCACATGATTTATGTGATTGTTTTTCCTCCTGTCCCGTACTGAAAAAGAAAAAGGCAAGTTAAACATTTCATTATCAAATATTGACAAGCTGTGCCAGTAGCCATTTAACAAAGTGACCTTCCAGCTATTAAAGGTATGGTCAGGACACTAGTTAATATGCAGCTGCTAACAAGGAAGTAAAATGAAATGATTAACTCATTAGATGACAATTATTAGAAACACTCACCATCCGTCTGTGACTTGCTAAGGAAGATCGTGCTGGCACGGGCATGATCTGATGGGTTGGAATCTAAAGCCAGATCTAGAAGACAGATAATCAATCAATCAATCAACAACATATGGGCATCTAAGAATGGATGGTACATACTTGAATACCAATAAAATATAAAACTTTAAAATTGTTAACATTACTCTTATTATTTCACATATACACTACCGTTTTTAGTTTTCAGCAGTTTTTGGGTTAATCTGATTCTCTAATGTTTTTGAGTCTTAGGCCTGGTTTCACAGACAGGGCTTAGACTAAGCCAGGACTAGGCAATAGATCAATTAGGACATTTAAGTAATTTGTATTAACGTGCCTTAGAAAAAACATTACTGGTGTGCATTTTGAGACAAGACAGAGGCACTGATATATTTTAAGATCAGTCAGTGCAAGTTTCTTTCAGTTAAAACAGCTCAGACTTACACTTAGTCTGGGACTAGGCTTAAGCCTTGTCTGTGAAACCAGGGGTTAATGTTTTAAGTCTCTTCTGCTTAACAAAGATGTATTTATTTGATCAAAAATACAGTAAAAACAGTAATATTATGAAATGTTTTTTACAATTTGATAAAAAAAATCAAATTGTTTTCTATTTTAACATATTATAAAATGTAATTTATTCCTGTGATGGAAAAGATGAATCAGCAGCCATTACTCCAGTCTTCAGTGTCACATGATCCTTCAGAAATCATTCTAATATAATGATTTGGTGCTCAAGAAACATTTCTTATTATTAATCTTAAAGAATAATATTTTTAAAATGTCTTTACTGACACTTTAATGCATCCTTGGTGAATAAAAGTATTAATTCTTTCAAAAATAAACAATAAATAAATAAAAATCTTACTGCCCCCAAACTTGAACATTAATGTTCTTTCAGTATAGCATCATATAACATTCTAATTTTCCTGTTCAATATATCTGCCCAATAACAAGGCAAATCCAAGAATACAATTTTAAAAAGAAGCTACAAGTGCACTGGTGGTGACATGCATTCAATAAATATCAATCTTTACACTGAAACAACCCCCTATAAGGGAGATAAGGTGGTATGTCGTCCTGCTCTGAGTGCTCTGATTGGCAGGGGCATGCTGTTACCCGCTCTGGCCACAAGAGTGAGAGGAGTGGGGGCACAATAAGCCTATTGTATGCGCACTGTAATAGAACAACAAGAGCTCACACCCTGAGCGCCGCCCACACCGCCATGTGCCACAGAAGCCAATCCAACGAATCAAAACAGACCGTACCACACTTTACAGCATGAGCACACATTACAAACCATAACAGAGTCCCCTGGGAAAGACACATATTCAACTGTACCAAAATGGCGTTTATGTTTGTAAATTGTGTAAGTCTGTAACCATCACCTGTAAAAACATTCTACCCAAAGTGCTGTTCAGAACATTAGGATTGAGGATTTTGCCCAGGCCACTTCATTAAAAGGTGTCTTCAGCAGCCACTGGAATTAAATGGAGATAGGGTCAAAAGATTTGTGCCAGTGCTGCTAGGTTGTATAGTAAACACACTCCAAGGAGATGTTTGGACAGCTGCAACCATGTCATGGGAGCTACAAAACTGGCAGGAGGTGAAGCACAGTTCAGGATACCCAGCTTTGGATGATTCTACAGTCTATGGCCCTAAACATACTTTCACAATGGATCAAATGGCAAATCCTAATGCATGTAGTGTTCACAGCATTACCACAAGAGACGCTGTGCCTGCAAGTAGGCATTAGCATACAATTTTCTTCTACTTCGATCTTTTCTGTTGCAGGTCAACAACTATGAGACAACAGTGTAAAGCAAGGTAGTTAAAGTTCATAAGATTGTAAGTTATAAATAGACTTTAGAACTAGCTACATGAAAACATATTGATTCTGTTTAGTGGCAAAGATATTTAAAGATAACTCTAGCAAAATGTGATTTGAAGATCCTATTCTTGCTGGAATTCACCTTCAGGTTAAAATATGGTCACTGAAAAGCGCAGATATTTTACAAAGGACTAAAGGTACATCCAAACACGTACTCTAATAAATGAAAACCTCAGAGGCAGATCTTGATATTTTTCTCCAACCCAAAAACTCACAGCCATTTCCTACCGGAGGATATGAATGGCAAAGCAGAGTGAGAATGACAAGTCCAGATGAGTTGGGCAAACCTGAAGACTTATTTCTCAACCGAACTCTTGTTGGGGCTGAGGCCCAGATTCCTTCCCCTGAGAAATCGATGGACATGGGTGAGAGAGAATGCTGACTGATAGGGAGGTACAGGAACGCCTGGTGACAAGGCAGCTTTAGTCCAAGGGCGGCAAACTAGAGCCAATTTTATGTTCGCTAACTCAGTAATCAAATGCAAAGCTAACGTCACACTGCTGGCAAATACAAAAGCGTTCTTTCTTAGCGGATCACACATAAAGATTAGACAAAAATCTTTAGGCTGTGTGTTATAGTGATTTTACTCCACCTCACTTGCATAAATGCATAAGAACACTCCTTAACTGTGGTAAAAGCCCTGTAATGACCTCCCATTAATTATTGCTTTAAAGGATTAGTTCAACAAAAACGACAAATTCTGTCATCATTTACTCACTCTCATGTTGCTCCAAACCTGTGACTTCTGTGGAAATACAGAATGAAAGACCAGTCGCTCTCTTTGTTTTGTATTTTTGTTTTTTATGAAATACCCATTAGCATACATTACCGTTCAGATTTCGGGGTCAGTAAGAATATTTAATGCTTTTAAAAGACATCAGTGCTCACTGAGGCTGCATTTATTGTTAGGAAATACTATAAAAACAGTAATATTTTGAAGTATTATTACAAGTGAAATAACTTTTCTCTTATAATATACACCTGCATATATATATATATATATATATATATATATATTCATTATATTTTTATTTTTATATATTTTCTGTTGTAATATATTGTAATATATTTTAAAATGTAATTTTTTGCTGTGATGGCAAAGCTGAATTTTTTAGCAGCCATTACTCCAGTCTTCAGTGTCACATGATCCTTCAGAAATCATTCCATTATGCTGAATTGGTGCTCATGAAACATTTCTTCTTCTTCTTATTATTATTATTATTATTATTATGTTGAAAACAGTTGTGCTGCTTAATATTTTTGTGGAAACAGTGATACAAAAGAACAGCATTTTTGTTTATAGATTTTTTTTGTAACAATGTAAATGTCTTTACTGTCACTTTGTAACAATTTAATGCATACTTGCTGAATACAATTATTAATTTCTTAAAAAAAAAAAACTAAAAAAACAACCCAAAGATTTGAATAGTAGTGTATGTGCTGAACAATTGAGATTCATTCATTCCACAGGTCTCTAGAGCTCATGTACTCAACTGACACTCCCATTCTCCCACCGCCAAAGTCAAAAATAACCCCTGGGGGTAGGGCCACCGTCCTCACTGAGGGGAGGAACACGGCTATAGTGTGGCGTAGCACAGTGATTCCCAACAAGGGGTATGTGAACCTCAGATAGATTTCATTTTACTTGCAAAAGAAAATTCACAACTTAATTTTCAGTGCTGCCTGTACAATAAAAATAAATCCTATCATATCAGCAGTGCTTATCTTTCTTGCATTTCGCCTCTTTTGTTTTGGTGGTAATTAAGGTGTATGTACCTAAGGTATAAAAAGATTGGGAAACACTGGCATAACACACTAAACCCCAAAGGGAACAAAACATGCCTCGTGGAGATTCCCAACAAGAGAGCGAGATAAGAAGAGAATGCAGCTGTCCCAAGATCTACATCCCTGGAATGCCAGGAATACTACACATTTTTGAGTCTCTGCCAATTAAACTTAGAATCGTTTTTTTTCTCATGTTCAACAGAATTCCAAATTAACAAAAACCTAGAATCACAAAGGATTAACCGCAGCCATAGTGGTGGAGTTTACACTGCTGTCATATGTGCTTTAAAAGATGAAGACATGTTGCTCTAAATACAGCACTGGAAGTTATTTGTGAGTGTGCGTGACTGACTGACTATATGCATCTCCCCTGAGGGTAAAATAGCTCAGGCTAAATAAACAGCAGTAAAGACTACAAACAATCCCAAGAGGCATCACACACATCCCAAATACTAACAGATATCCTTCTGAGATCTCCATAAACCTTGTTTCTTTCAATAACATTATTAAGTGTAGCTGATTACTACAATATGCAATTGTTATTCAGACCGAAATTGTCATAGGCCACCCACTTTCAGAGCAAACCAACAGCACTTAAATTGTTCAGCTCTAAACAGAAACCCGACCCGTGAGACGAGGAGGTCAAGGCATCGGATCACAGCAGTAGAGTTCCTCAAGACGCAGTGGCACACAAATGTGGAAACACAAGTATAGAATAGAATAGAATAGAATTTTGTCGTGACAGACCAACACTTGCAGGATTCAAACCTGCATTTTGGTTAAAGTTATAGATTTAGTTCTTAAATCTGGTTCTGGATAACCCCAAAACTGCACACTTTGGATGTCAACCTACTCGGACACATCCAGTTCAGACCTTGAAACTACTTCTAATAAACAGTAGATATAAATCAAGGGTGCTTAGTTTTGTTAGGGGAGATTCACCTCGAAAGTTAATTTCCAACACCAGTCTGTATTATTATCAAGTAAACATGAAGACCTTGATGAGCTAGTTCAGATGTGTTTGAGCAGGGTTAGTCCGGAAGGTTGATTTCCACGAGTAGGACTGAGCAATCATGGTCTCGATCAGGGGTGTCAAACTCGGTTCCTGGAGGGCCGGAGCCCTGCAGTGTTTAGATTCAACCCTAATTAAACACACCTGATCCAACTAATGAAGTCCTTCAGGCTTATTTGAAAACTACATGGTATGTGTGGTGGAACAAAACTCTGCAGGGCTCCAGCCCTCCTGGAATTGAGTTTGACACCCCTGGTACTAGAACTTACCATCGGGCACCTCTCGGTCACTGATGTGCTGCAAGTATGGACCGGTGTCATCGCTCAGGTCTGTGTTGATCTGATAGTCCTCCAGACGCTCCACCTGCCGGGATAGTTTGGGGCTTCCACTGGGGGACACGCAGCAGGACACTGTATTTCCCATGATGATACACACAAGTATGTGTTCTACCTGATCAGGTGTGTTCGTCTAGGCTGCTTCTGTCATCAAATGTGAATCAATGGATCCAACGAATGAACTCAAACTAAATGAAGGTGCATGAAAGGCTGTAATGGACACACGGAGTCAGCATTTACTGCTGTGCTGTCTTGCTGCTCCAGACTCAAGAGGTATTTTACTGTCTGTGCCAGTCATATAACGGGACTCCATGCATTTAGAGACAGTGAGACAGAAGACCTAAGGCTTTAGCATCCGAGTAATCAATACAACCGGATATAAGACAGGTGACTGACAGCATATCACTAGAAAATATCGGTCGGAGATCATTGAATACAGATTTGTTCTTTTAAATTAACAGCACATGCTAACTGCTAACGGCTAATATTGATTCATTGTGAATAAGCGCGTTATTAGCCGCCGTGCTAACTGAAATAAACCATCCCTTTAACTCTGATTTAAATGTCCGAATGTGTCCTAAATTAAGCCGGTTTGGCGGTTCAAATCGGGAACAGATGGAATAGCCCCTCAAGAACAGACTTCCAAGCATTTATCCGTCATGTATAGGGCAGATCTGTGTGTCGGCTGAAACTCTGGATCCAATAATCACTCAAATCCTCAGGCCTTCGGGCCCGTAGCGAGAGAAAATGAGGCTTTTAACGCAGCAGATTAATAAAGTCCTGTCCCGTTTACATGCGCTTAATTCAAACTCCGGTTTGTTTGGAGTTATTAGATTTTGTCCACCGAGTCTCGTCGGAGAATCCCCTCGTTATCCCCTCCTCCCCGCCGGCCAGTGCAGCAGCATCAGCGATCCACTCCCCGCCACCACCGCCATCTGATCCGAATGACGCAGTAAGGGCCCGCCCCTTTTCGACATTCCATCAATTACGATTGGATGAGCTACCAAAACAAAATAAAGATCTGTTCAAGAATTGGTTATTCTAACTGTCAATCACGCCGGATATCTAACGATTTAAACACCGCCCATTTACACCTCTTTGTGAATAGAATGAAATGGAACACTAGCGTACTGCACAGTGTATCCTGTACAGTGCCTACAATTCTTTTGTGAAATAGTACAAACTATGTAATGATAAACATTTCAAACAGTATGCATGTTTAACTCAACAAATGGTGTCCAGTTATCATCTCTGAAATAAAAAT